CGAGAAAACCGAAAATGTCATTTTTCGGCGAGAAAATTGTTTTTTTCAAGTTTTTTATTTTTTTCTGAGAATCAGTTCAACTAATGTAATCTTCTGGTAAGGAAAAGAAAATTTTCATTTTTTAAATTTTTTCCGACAATAGTCGATATTTACGGACAGCCTCTCTTAAAGGGGCACTTGGGTGAAAATGCCCCAATTTTTCAAAATCCGAATAATTGAAGTATTTGAGGATACTTTGACTCAATTATCATTATCTAAACCAGATTAGTGAATATTTTCGCCTGGGAGCCACTTGCAGTTGAAAAATTTTGGGTTAAAAGAGAAAAGAACAATAGGTTTGAGTAAATGACGTCATATACTTACGATTTATATGCTAAATAAAATTGATAATTTTTTCATCTAACACTTTTTACTGTGAAGAAAATATGTTGCTTGGCTACGATTTGGGCCATATAGATATGTTTAATTAAGTTTAAAGTCATTTCCAATTTTCAGTCCATTTTCATCCAAGTGCCCCTTGAAATTCCAATTCATTTTGGCATCATAAAACTTAAATACAAGCCTTTGGCTTGGGAGACTGACCAATCTCTCCCTACATATTCAACATAAAAAATAACATCTTTTTCGGATTCAATGCTGGATTGCCAAGCCAAAAGCTCAGAAGTCAATTAAAATTTACAATAGTTTTTGTAATATTTCAAAGGCGTCAATGAGGACTGGACGGGATTTCAAGTCCAAGCAATTAGGTTCAGTCTGAGGCACAGCCGAGGACTGGAACTAATTGCTTGGACTTGAAATCCCGTCCAGTCCAATATTGGAGGCTTTGAAATGACTTCTCATGCTCATTAATTATTCCACTTGGAGTAGCTGGAACAAAATTAATTCAGTCCTAGGACTGAATTAATTTTGTTCCAGTTATTACAGAATCTTCTCTTAGTATCCAGTAGCATCACATGGTCCAAATACAACAATGGGATTGGCTCCTTTCCTCATGAATAATTAATGAGTATGAGTCTTTACGACTCACCATGAGCTTCCTTTGTTTTCTTATCAGCTTTCATCTTGTTTACAGTTCTACCCAGGAACTTTTTAAGCTTTTTCCTGAAGAGAAAAAAATTGTCAATAAAAAAGAGAAAAGGGGAAAAAGGTGATTCAGCATTAATACTATAACAGGAGCTTGATGTTTATATAAGATTGCACCTTTACAATACACAGTACAGTATCAAAGTATCTTAATCTGAGCATATTTTAACTATATTATACCACAAGGCATCCTGAGGAAAGCAAGTCTAGAGGTTGTGAAGAATATTAAACTCAAACAGGATGTGATAAGATCCTCTCTATTCATTTATCATTTTGGAAGGTCATCCCCTGCTGTGGTGTACAGTCAAGCCATACAGTCACACCTAACAACATCTACTTAATGAAAATAGACTCAATCTTAGCACAAACACTCACGATTTCTTTTTCACTTTACTGCTTACATCCACACCATCTTCGTGATCAATGGCATTGAGCTTAGGGTTACTGCTATAGTAAAAAGATATTTCCTAGGATTAATGACAATATTAGAAAACCTTCAAAACAAAAGAACAAAATATTTAAAAAAAATTTCCAAATATTTTTGAACAATAAAGTAGTCCACCATAGTTTGTATTAAATAAACTTTTTAAATCCGCAGTAATGATAAAAGGGTAAATTTTACACCGTGAAAAGATGAAAAACCTTGCTGACGTTTCGGATGCTTTTAAATCCACATATTATTAACTGTAGAGTAGAAATACCTTGAAAATTCAGAAGTCAATCTCATGATATGTAGAGCCAATGGGTTGGTTCCCTTAGGTAATCTATCCTCTGCCAGACTTAGAGGAATTCTTTCCCCTGTATCAAGATTTTTGACTATAACTTGTTCCAGAATTTCCTGTTAAACAATTTACAAGAAAATATGAATATTATCAAGAAACTTGAGTTTCATGTGCAATCAAAATAAAGTATCCAGAATCAAAAACATGAGGCTTAACTTTTGTTTTTGGAAAAAAGAAAAAGTCAAAAATTTGCCATTGATCACAACTGAGGTTCTAAGGTTGTGGATTAAAAAACTTCAACTTGGGCACTATTGGTGAGTTTAAAATTTTTTCTGATTTCTTGAACTTTTTCCTCTTCATAAAAATTGATGTGTGAAACTTTGATGTGTACTGTGAATAATTAATGTTGTGGGGAAATAAGTATTGAGTAAGCTAGTAAGGGAGGGCTGGTGTTTCTTGGTTGTAAAGAGAGCTGTTTTCAAGTCGCAAGAGGTTTTCTCTTAATACAATAAAAATTGAGTTAAATCCTTTCGTGAAGCGTGAAAAATGTTTGTGGAAAGTATGTTTTCATCTAAAGTCAAAGAGCTGTTGCGTGAGTCTTGGTTGTTAAGAGAGCTGTTTTGCTGATGGCACAGTATACTTACAGCGTCTGATAATGGCCTTCCTGAAGCCGACCTCACACGCACGAGTCCACCACGTTTGTCACCACTTGAATACTGATATGAATGTGTGCTACCTACAGATGCCGTAGATCCTGATATATTATTCATTTGTCCATTTGATATAACACTAGAAACGCTTGCAAAGCTGTCTGACCTATTACAGCTACTACCTAGCGACGTCACAGAGTGAGATTTGAGCCGAGTGTCTAATGTCAGAGCATGAATAACTTCTGTAGAGCTGGCTTTTTCTAAAACTTTCTTCATCTCTTGGGATTTATAATCAAGGGTTATTGCTGGGTCATTCTCATCTGCATCTTCTAAAGTGTTAGTAACCGTAGTGAGATCACTAGTAGTCTTCTCGGATGGCGGAAGGGGCGGATCACTTGAGAAGTGGTCCAATTTTGGACTGTCTGGGGTAGAGACTGGGGAACTTGGATTTTCTGGTGTTGTGGATTCTTTGTGCTGTTATAACAAGAACAGACATTAGTGTTGCAATTATGAATCATGGTGCTGGTGTAACATCTTCATAAAGAATTTAAGATTTAGTATGTGTTGATTGCCCAGAGACCTGTAGTCATTCATTAAAAGACACAAAGTCTTAAGCACTGTAACAATTCATCTGGATGTAAGGATTAATCCCTGGGGTTGTTGCAGTGTTCAATGAAATTGAGAAACTTACATTTCTGATATTTCTCTGATACAAGCTAGTATGATTGAGTTGAGACCGGACCAACATTACATTTATAAAAGCCACATGAAATCATTTGCATATATTAGAATATTTTGTGGCTGAACCCATGACCTCTCCAAAACAGACTGATGCTCAACCAAATAAGCCAGCCACATGTACATAAATTTATTCAATTAATTACTTACCTTAGTATCATCATCAACTTTATCAGCAGCTTCTGATAAAGACTTCACTTCTGGTTTCTTTTTCCTTTTTCTTCTCGGCGGTGCAACAGGAGCTGGAGCTTCCACTTCCGCAACCTTTCTGTTTCCACTTTCGACTACATCTGATCCAAGACTCTCATCATTAACTACTTCTTTTATTAGTTGACTGACGGGTGACAATAATGGTAGCGATGTTGCACCACTACTAATTTCTAAAAGTTTTGTCTCATTTATATTTTTCTCCAGATTAAGTTCTAAATTACGAACTCTTGGTTTTTGTACATTTTGAACCCTTTCTTGTGGTTCATCTTTCTTAGAACTGTCTTCATAATTATTCAAGGATGAGTCAAAAACATTTTCATCTTTAGGATCTAAAGATTTTGAGTCTCCTGGTATTGTACTCTGTTCCTGACTGCTAGTTGATGGTTTTAATTTTCCTGGCGAATGTTGTTTTTTGTTTGTTTCATTCTTGTCATGTTGTCCATCTTTGATGTTAATATTTTTTCCTTGAATTGTAACCTTCTAAAAAAAATCACCACAATAAATTATTATATGATAGAGCAGGTATGCGCTTGCTCTAAATCATAATTCATTTTCACGTTTGCTCTTTGACCTAAAGACAAATATTGACAGCAAGTAGGTTTTCCTACTCACAAATATATCCTAAAATTTAATTACGTATTTCCTGCCACAAGGATTATTACTGCCGTTTTAGATATTCTGCAAACTCCGTGTTTACAAAATTTGTTTTTTTGGTGCTGTCAGTCAAAAGTAATCTGTCAGTTCCTTTTATTTCTTTGACTGGCCACAGTAAAAAAAACAATTTCGCAACAAACCTTTGAAATGTCCATGTTTGCAGAATATTGAAAACCGCAGTAAACTATTTAACATAATGCAGCTAGTATAAGGCCAAAATAATTCATCATGAGTTGAGGACCATACTTCATAAAAATCAGCTGACATTAGAATCAAAACGACTAAAATATTTCACAATATTATCGTTTAAAACCGGGAAAATTATCCAAAAAACGTAATGAAAGAAACAACCCCAAAACAAAAAGCAAATTCTTTTAGTCCAATATCAAACATAATAAATGCATGTTTTTGAATTCTTTAGACCGTGAATTGAATTCTTAAATTTTGACCTCGAGTGAGGAATATTTAAATATGAGCTTAAAAATTGGGGCGTCGAAAATTATATTTGCATTGAGCTTAGAAGGGCTTATATAGAGATTAGAAGAGTGGGTTTTGAGCCATATTTTAGAGAAGAATGAGCTTCATAAATTTAGATCAAACTGTGGCGATCGCAATAGAAAATTTAGGAACGATTTCTTTTGTTTCATTCGAGTAGTTGTTGTCATATGCTTATTATGACAGGTGAAACAGTGTCCAATATGTTTGAAATAGAGATTTATTTAATATTCAATATTTTAACATCCTAATCCTAAACTATTATTATAAAAATATTTATGATGGTATCAAGTCAAAACAAACACGAAGGAAGATCTAAATAACAAAAAATCCGATCGAAATATTAATTTTAAATATCGTTTTTTGAGCATTAAAATCCACGGGAGCTGAGCTAAAAATACTTTTACCCTTGGGTATTTTACTCAGTACAAAATTGCAAATGGTTTTAAAAAATAGCTTCATTCCTTAGATACTGACAGGATTAATCTGGCTAGTAAATAAGAATTTTAAAGGTTCAATAATAAGTTTTTTACCTTGGTATTTTCGAGAGTTCCTACATCGAAGCTGTGGAGAATATAACAATTTGAATTAAAAAGCCACAGTCGTAAAACTCAAAACAAAGAGTTTATCTACGTCAAGAGATAAAAATAAGGTCAAATATGACTGAATTGAATTCAGCTTCAAAGGTAAGGAAGCTTCTTTAGCGATATAAATAATGGCGCACTGAAATAAAAGACAATAAAAAGTCAAAACTTTTCTTGGATTCAATGAAGGAGTACAGAAGTACCTGTTATTTTGGGACTCCGCAGCGTCGAAAAACTCCCCTTCGGAGTCGCTATCGCTCTGCATAGCTATCTCCTATAACCAAGGATTGCAGGAGTCTATTTTCTGCTTTAAATTCACACCACTGGAGACATTATTTTGGCCATAATTCGACCGTTTCATGCACCGATTGCTATAAGAACAGCATCCATTAACCAAGACGTCGCCTCTTGACAACCACAGTCCTTTGCGATTATACTTATGACAAGATCTCTTATTGGTTAAAAAAACAATAATAAGTCAAAACCAACCAATCAAAGTCGTCGTTAGAAACTCGAAGGACTTGAGGCTGTTTGGATTCTTGTTTCATTGAAGATGCGTCCAGTTTAAAGTTTGAAATTTCGTTGGAAATTTTATCGATTGTTTTTTTAAGATGTCGACGATTCGCAGGTACGGTGCAAATATTTATTTATTCTTCTTCCTACTGCGCTTCTAAATATTCAAATTTTATGATTCTTTTAGTTTGCTTGAAGGATAATGTAAAGACTGTCTCATACGAAATGTCGCATCGTCTTTATATCCAGGAAATGTCAAAGTCAACTAAGGAAATTGGAAAATTGTGAAATAACGAAATCAGGCTAGGCTGAGAGTTCTAAAAGTTCAATCAAGGATAGAACACTTTTGTTCTATCGATCGCCCTTAGACCCGTTAATTCCCAAGGAGATTTACACTAATTTTGATAGCGCAATGTTACTTCATGCAAATCTAATCTGTTAAGATTTCCTCAAGGGTATTCTATTTTATTAGTTTAACGTAAAATCGAAAGTTTTAACTTAGATCTTTGTACGAGCGTTGTACGGGTTATCTTGATAAGTTTATGTACTTTGTAACTGTCCTTAAAGTGACGAGGAAATATTTTTTTGCGGTCCAAACTTGTTTATCTTCTTTCAACATTTGTTCTAGTTTGTTCGTGAACCTGTTATTGCAAATACGTTCTTGTTTTTCTTGCCAATTAAATTTGAGCATGATTTTAACTTCATGATTGTACCATTAATTGCTATTGTTGTTTATGAAACCATCACACCTATATTACAAGTTCTATTGTCAGTACATCCTGTTGTTGTCTCTACATAAAATCGCGACAGCAATCGAAGTTTCAAAGGTTCATTGTGTAAGTCCAGAATGCCAATAAAAAACGAAAGTGTAAAAATGTAACAGCTCCAACACCCTGATGAAACAGTGGTTCAAGACGTGAAAATGAATTCCTTCATGAAAGGCCCTTTCTACTATTGTTTTAAAAACTCATTCTGAACAGTTCATTCTAAAACTAAATCCCTAAAAGACCTCACATCACAGAAACATCTATAGTAACATCTATAGTTAGAGGATTTCACTTTTTAAATATACATTTAAAATAAATTTCATTCAAATTATGCAAATTAGAAAAGTACCATAGCAAAGAGATTAAGGCTCAGTGATTTTTCTAAATTACCTGATCGTTATATCACTGTTTTACGTCAACTGCTCTTAAAGTGTGACAGTTTTGTCTAAGGAGAACACAGTTTTTCTTGACCTTCAATTCATGCACATCCGTAATGAGTTAAAGAATTATTGGTTTGTCAAAATAATTTCGTTATGATATATAGCTCTGGATAAAATAAATAATTTTTTTACAATAATTTTTTTATTTGTTAATATATTATATTCATTTATTTTTTAAGTTTCTTTCTTTTTCAGTCATTCACTTCATTTGCTTATTTCATCCAAACACCCAGCTCAGTTTTCCATCCTCAATTCCATCCATAATTCCATCCATCCCTTCCTCCCTCCTTCCCTCCCTCCCTCCCTCCCTTTCTCCCTCCATTTATTCATTCATTCATTTATTCATTCATTCATTTTTTCGCTCATCCATTCTTTGATTCATTCAATCTATCTACCATAGTATTGAACATCATTACAAACCAGTGATTTACAATTGTCTATCATTTTAGTCCAGTGGATGAGTATGGGTTTCAAAGACCAGATGACTTTGATTACAACAGTTATGAACACTTTATGACAAGCTATCTCCGTGTCTTGGCCAGGAGAGCAAGCAGATGGCAAAGATTCGTCAGGGGAACTTCAAAAGTCAAAAAGTCCAGAAAAGGTCACTATAAACCTTATAAAGTTATCATATTATTATGTTATTCATATGTTAAGTGATTTTGAGTAATGTGGTTGCACCTAAAGAATAGGCTTTTGAATACCTCATGTTCTAAACAAAAATATCTCCATAGCTCCCCATGTAAAATCCTGTTAATAAGATTAAATTTTCGTTTCTAGTTAAGAGATTTGTCAGGAAGGGAGTACCTCCAAGCTACAGGGGACAGGCAAGTATTTAATACTATCAAAATAATTTGTTTTGAAATATTCAAAACATTATGATCTTATTTTGTTTGCAGGTTTGGATGGATATTAGTGGTGCTAGAAAGAGGAAAAAGAAAAATCCAGGCTATTACCAGGGTCTACTGGAACAAGAACTGGATGAAATAGTGAAGAATAGTATCACTACAGGTATTGAATTGCATGATATACTATATACTGACAGATCAACCATGAGATAGAGTTGCAATAATGTCTATCATTCATCCATCCTTCTATCCATTCCTTCATTCACTCACTCACTCACTCATTCATTTATCCATCCCTCCCTCCCTCCCTCCCCCCATTCATTTATTCATTCATTCATTCCCATCCTTCATTCACTCTTTCATTCAAACAAATAAACAAATATGAAATTTAAGATTATGCAAGCAATTTACTTTCATATCTATACATCAACTTTATTTTTCGTCAACAGATATAGACAGAACCTTTCCAGAGAATATATTTTTCGGGTCATCTCAAAAGGACCTGCGCAAAAATCTTTACAATGTGTTATATGCCTATGCATTGCACAATCCAAGAATAGGCTATTGTCAGGTATGTAGTGCACATGTCGGGATGTATGATAAATAACTTCACTAAAAGTCTCCATTTTTTACCAGGGTCTTAACTACATCACTGGCATGCTTATATTGATTGTTAAGAATGAAGATTCAGCATTTTGGTTATTAGATGTAATGATGTCGAAACGGCTTCCAGGTAAATCATGTGTAATTCTCATTTCCATGGTTAAAGGCCCCAGAAAATAAGCCAGAATAATATTGGGTTCTCCACTAAACAAAGTTAAGGAAATCTAGATTTATTTCAAGGTCAGGGAATAGTTATCAGGGTATTCTGTATTTGGTCACGAAGATTATTAAACATGCAAATGTCAATAACACTTTTTTTTAGAAATTTTGGTATCCTGTGGAATTCTGCTATAGTGGTCCTGGAATTCTATGCAATGCTTTTTGTATGGTTTAGGTTACCTATTCATCCCCTTTGAAAAGTTGAATTGTATTTTGACATGGTCCTAGATCCTTTGCATTACAATTAATTGACAATGCCCCTTACCCTCCCCTCCCCTAAATAACATCAGCAGCCCCCTTATTTCTGCCTTTGAATGTTAAGCATTTCAACTCTTAAGTAAAATGGCTCATTGCTTTCAGATTACTATGCAAAGGATATGCTTGGGTTGCAAGTGGAGCATGAGGTTTTAGCTCAACTTGTCAAGTAAGTAGAAGTTTAATATTTGGAGCTGGTCATTCAATTCACTTCTTGGGGGAGAAGTGCTGAATATAATTTTACAAAGTATTTCTTGGCGCATGCAATTTTCAGATTTTTATGACCTGCAGACACTAAATACTAGCCACCTTTTCTTCCCCAGGAAGAAGATGCCACAGTTACATGCTCACATAGAGAAGATTGGGTTATCATATAGTATATTCGCCACTAAATGGTTCATTTGTTTATATATTGACGTACTGCCCGTGGAGGTAAGAATATACAGTCAATTCAAAAAACGTTGTTGTCGACGGGCTCAAGCCTACGCGACTGGACTGAAAGGAATATGGGTAAAAATCACTGAAGCGGTTGAATATTCATTCTGATTTAATTGTTGCCGCTAGTAATAAGATAATAATGGTGAGAAACAATCCATCAATTGCATGTCTTTGGGTTTAGGGAAAGAAAAACCAAGTAGTTATGATTCAGTTCACAAATACGAAAATACGAAGGCATTAAAAAAACATCTCCTTCAACTCTTCCCGCTCGCCTACGAAGGTTCGTGCTGTAAACCAGGCATAACTAGTCAGATAAAATAATGGAGTCAACTCGGCTTCAATGATTGTTACCCAGAGTTCCTTTCGGTCCAGTCGCGTAGGCTTGAGTTGGTCGACGACAACATTTTTTGAATTGACTGTATGCTTTCTGGTCTCTACTGTACTTTAAGGGTTTTTCTTCATTTTTTCCTTCCACTAAAATTATCTTCTATCTTCCAATGTTATTCTAACATGGAATGAGGGCTACAGGTTTGTTATCCAAGGACAATTTATATCCATTTTTCATCAGTCATTTTTTCTAAATTATAGATTTTTCCTTTTTTAATGTCTCCCCAGATCAGACCATGTGTTATTTTTATTCCCCTTTAGTATTGTTTCCTTCTTTCCTAAGATTGCATTGCCACATCAACCAATGATATCAATATTTCTTATTTTCTTCAGACAGTGCTTCGTATTTGGGATTGTCTATTTTATGAGGGCTCAAAAGTTCTCCTTCGAGTTGCACTGACGTTACTAGCTCTCCACGAGTCCCAGCTTATGGCTTGTGAAGACTTTCCTCAACTCTGTAATTCAATGAAGGTAAAAAATGCATGTCAGGCCAAGCAAGGTGATAATTAGTCACACCAACAAAGATGCAAAATGGCATGCCATTCCTTGCTATTAAGCTACTGTAATGAAGGACAGGCTTGTTAGCATTGACCTGGCTATTGCTACTCTTGTATGTTATCATGCTATTGTCCGGATGAAGGGTGCAGTTGTTGGCTCCAAGTTTGCTGGTGATACAGAGATCACACATAGCAACCATTCTTGAGAATATCACACAATTGCAATTAGTAACGTTGTGAAAATCCACTGTACATTGTGCGCATCAGTTGTGTTCGAGCCAATTTTTATGTGCCAAGTCTGAGAAATATATTTAGAGCATGGATTGCATGCAAAATTGAAATATCATTCCTTTTTCCTTCTCGTTTGTGTGATACAGGAGATAACTACGAACCCTTCAACAATGGACTGCCATTCTTTTATGGTCGTAAGTATAATCAAATAGTTGGGTAATAGTATAAGAAAGTAATCCTGGTGTCTAGTTTGCCCTGTGCATGGTAGCAATTTGGGAAGGAAATAAGTGAATAAGGAGGAAACTTAAACAGGGTGTAAAAACTTTGCAACCTTTTGACTTAAGAGTGTGACAGCCATTTGAGAGTCATATATATAAGTAAGAACTTGTTACCCTATGTACCTTTCAAATGGCTTCTATTTTCATGAAGCACATGATTAGGTAGTCTGTGTTCTCGCTGCTTTCCCATGGTCCAGAATTGGTCCAGATTGGCAGTAAACTATTTCAGAGTCACTGCATTTCATAGTGCATTTCAAATGCAATCAAATTATGCTGCATATTGAGACTACTTTTCCCCTTTTAGAACTGTTTTGAGCTGCCTGGATCTTTACCGATACGACAAGTCAAGAAACTTAGAGCAGAAGCACTAAAGAAACTCAGACCGCCAGAAGATGATGAGGCAAAATCTTAAACTATCTAGACAAAACATTTTAATTATCACATTCAGTTTTTGTAATATTTTTTTATTTCAAATTTGGGTTTGGGAATATTGAATCACTTTTATCAACATGAGAATATTATTATATATGAATAACTCACTTTATTTGGGAATAGTTTCCACCGATACTAGTCTCCCCCACAGCCTGTAGCTACTCAGGGGAGAAAGCGTTGCGTGACGACACTGAAAGCGGCTGTGGGGGAGACTAACCGATACAAGATGTATTAGATTGCCATCAAATGTTGATTAGAAATTGAGATGTAAATGAAACAAATATTGCTCTCTTTTGTCCTTTTCTCCTTTCCTGTCACTCATCCAAGCAAAAAAATATGTAAAAATGAAGAAAAGGAGTAGGAAAAGCAAAAAAGAAAGGAAGAACAAAACAAACAAATATGGTGACAATGACGTCACATCCAGTTAAACTTATTACCAGTACTGCGTCCGTACAGAAATTGTACTGTAAAAACTGTATTTAGAAATTTTTAGTTTTTTAATGTATATTTAATTGTTAACATGCTAGTGAAGTGTATATCAGCGACAAAAAGACCTCGTAAGAATAGGGAGAAAAGGAATTGCACCTTTAGATATTTTCCTTGCCTGTTGACCTAAAATTCTACCTCTATCAAATATGCAATTTCAATCAAAAAATATTCCAAATATCTGAGTGCATGCTCATGAACTTTGCATGTACTGTATTTAAAATTATAACGAATTTATAACAAATTAAAACTCTCATTATATCACTATTAAAATAAATGTGTATTTTGTACGCCTTGCGTTTTAAAAACTATAGTCGTAACTTTTTGTTAAATTGAAAGATTTCACATGGCCATGTTTTTCACAGCCATATGAAATCTATTAAACTTTAGTCAAATCCAACTATCGGTCTATCAACAATGCTGCTTTCTGATTGGATGAGCTACTACTAGGCTAAAAGTTATTTCCTACTAGTAGCGAAAAGTGTTGGCTTTAAAAACCAAAACTAATTAAATTTTTAAACTTTACCTGAAAACTATTTTTCATCTATATATTTGATGGAATAATTGTGGATTTGACTAAAACAACTAATCCTCTCTATAGCCTATGAATCAATAGCCCATTCTTGGCTCAGGGACTATACTGCTAAAATATACCAACAAGATTCCATTTTAGAACCTGAAAAATTATGTTTGCTTCAGTGTCTTGTGGTGATAAGCTCCTCAGTGTCTTCTGTTGTGATAAGTTGCTTCAGTGTCTTCTGTGGGGATAAGTTGCTTCAGTGTCTTCTGTGGGGATAAGTTGCTTCAGTGTCTTCTGTTATGATAAGTTGCTTCAGTGTCTTCTTTGGGGATAAGTTGCTTCAGTGTCTTCTGTGGTGATAAGTTTGCTTCAGTGTCTTTCTTGTATTTTATCTCCAAGCTGAGGTTCCATGACGAACGTCACTTCAAACTCCTCTTCTTTGATTGATCCCTCCAACTCGAATAGAACAATCTTTAGTTATGGGAAGAAAAATAAGAGTTAGCAATCGAACAAATCAAGGAATGGATAGTCAGATTGGATGGAATGATTGAAGCTAGAAACGCAAGAATGATTAATGGATTGATGGAATGGAATGGGAAGGGATGGGTGAATGACTCCAGCCATGTTTTCACTAAGCATTTGAAGTCACCTAAAATTCCTTTAGGTGTCTTAATCTGAAGTGTCTGTCAAGAACATTGCTGTGATTGGCAACGACATTAGGTAGGCCACAAAAAATTCATTTCTGAGTCAAAAGAAAATACATGCCGTTATTGTACTTACCGTGTTCTCTCCAGAGCGTAGCCATGGTTTTGGAAGGTAAAGTGTCTTCTGTGGTCCAATATTCCAGTAGCGTCCTAAATTACGACCATTTATAAAGCACGATCCTTTTTTCCACGCACTCATTAGAAGGTATGTGTCCTTAGGTTCACCAGATATTTCGAATTTTCCTTTGTATAAGCCTGGTCCAGTACGTTTAGAAACTGAGGACCATTCTATTTTGTTGGTTAATCTTTGGAGATAAAAGAATACGTATTGATAGGTGTTATGTTAAGTGGCCCTAATATTGATCCTTGAGGAATGCCACTGAGAATAAATGTTTTCTTTTTAATTTATAGTAATGAAGCAAAGTGGCCCCAATCTTGATCCTTGAGGAACTCCAGATAACAAAAATACTAGCATATGTCTATTTTCATATTTGACGAATTTCTATCCTTGAGAAACTCCGGACAGAAACAATATCAATGTACAAATGTATTTCTTTATCTAATCTTTAAACATAAAAATAAATTTTCGGCGCTTATTAAATGTTTTGGGTTTCATATGCGCCGTTCATTCGGGGGCGGCGTTTATTCGAGGGCGCGCTTACTTAAAAAAATGTGTTTACCATACTTATACATAATGCGTAAAAAATATTGATTACAAAGTAAATACAAACGTTTAAAAAATACGAAATACTAATTAATTTTAGAGTTTAAATTCAGACGTCACAGTCATTGTCCTCTTCATTATCTGAGTCCAAGTACTGCATTGTTGGACGTTATATTAAGTACTCGTTTACTAAGCGCCGCGGTGCTTATTAAAGTTTTTGGGTTTCATATGCGGCGTTAATTCAAGGTCGGCGCGTATTCGGCGCGGCTCTTATTAATAATTTTGGTCTTAAGTGCAGCGCTTATTTAAGGGTGGGGTTTAATCGGGGGCGGTGCTTAAACGAGTCAATACGGTAATTGCATATTTTACAAGAAAATAAAGTGGTCCCTATATCAAAATTGTGAAGTTTATGCTCAGTTTATTTATCAAGCATTATTGCTTGCACATACTTGTCCATGACTTTAGGCTTAAAGTCAAGCGGGTAGATGGTCCAACGTTTGTGTTTCTTGCCGTCAATGGTAACTTCACCTAGAATTCCTGTATTTTAAAAATATGATGACAATGATAAGGGACCATTCATTGGTTCATTTAGAGGGGCGAGCTGGCAAGAATCAAAACTAATTGATAAAAACGTATTGTCCCCCTTTTGATCCCATTATATTTCATTTTTTTGACTCGCCCCCTCCCGTTTTTATTGGTAAATTATATGTAAGCCCCCCTTCCGATAGATGTACCTTTTCTTTGTGTGTTGATGTTCTTCAAAAAATTGACTCGACCCATGTTCTCCACCAATATTTCCAGTGTCTTCTCCTCCCCTGGTTCCTGTTGAACGAATTTGATCTGTTAAATCAATTTTTATGGCATCGCGCCAGCTGATGTCCAAAAAAATTTTCAGTCTCATTTACCTGGTCAGAACTTAGCGTAGCTTTGACATTTTTGGTCTTATTTACGTTCAGATACTTCCCCTTGTAATCCATCACTTCTGGAATATTTTGTTCTTTGGAATCAACGAAGACCTAAGATAGAAAACAATTTCGTACCACGTCAAAATTTTCGACTTCAAAAACCAAACAACTTCAGGGGTACGGGGTCTCCACCACTCTCATATCACAATAATTTTCACGTCTCCACCTCCATCCAGATTAGAACATGTCTAAGCATAGCAAGTAAGAACAGCAATCAAATACGCCACACCTCAGAGTTTGGGTTCTCCACCAGTTCATATCGTCTTGGTCTCCAAATTGTCCACCGCCATCCAGATTAAACAAAAATGAAGCCAAATACATAGCAAGTAAAAACAACGAATATCAATCACATACCTTCGCCCTGTCTCTATAGCTCTCAATTTTTAGTTGCTTTGCACTGGGTGGTATGGTTGTTTGGTACAGGATGTAACCATAGCCTTGACCACCGTTGTTGTTGATGGGTAGACTTTCCATGGGGACTGGGTATTCACTTTCAACGGATGTCTGTCCCCATAATAATAATAATATGATTGAGAAGGCATAGTTTGATTCCGAGATGCATTTTATGACTACTGTTAAAAGTCTTGCGGGTGGGTAACGAGGGTAATTTCGGGCAAAACGATTTGTTTTTTGTTGACCCACTGTTCCACCCTCTTGCAGATATATCTGTGTTAAATTCAATGACTGAGAAAGCGATTTATGTGCACCCTTTATCGCATCTGACAACACACTGAGTAAGTCAGCCAGATTTACTGCGGTTTTCCATATTCTGCGAACTCAGACATTTCAACGGCTTGTTGTGAAATTGGTTTTTCACTGCCGCCAGTCAAGAACATAAAAGGTACTGACTGATTCTTTTTGATTGACGGCAGCAAAAAAGAAAAACAAATTTCAGCGTGCCGCTTGTGACTGCAGAGTTTGCAGAACTTCAAATACCGCAGTAATCCTGTACACTTACATTTGGGATTTTAATACAAGCAATTTTAGTGCCGTCCAGAAATAGTATTCAAAAAAAGCAAAGATATACGACAGTTAAATTATAGACTTACCACATATTTGAGTAAGGTTTTGAGTGGCATAAACTCCTGCATTTCCACTGGTTCTATGATCAAAACCAGCATACTATTCAATTATGAATAACATGGGTGGATCTAGGGGAGGGGTGCAGGGGGAGTGCACTCCCCTAGATGAGCTGATATCTACTGTATTATTGGTGTTCGAGTTTGTAAGCAAAGAGTACACCCCCTCCTAAGACGAAAATCCTGGATGGTGCCCCCCCTCCCCTCTCTAGAAAAATCCTGGATCTCCCCCTGAATAATAACATTCTGAGGGGATATGACAATAGCACAGTGCCCCATTGTAGCAATGGGAGTATACTTACCATAAATTGTTTTCTCTGTATTTGGAGGTATACTTTTTGGCATATGTTTTGGAACTATAAAACACCATACAAATTTATATTTTCATTTGATTCGATTTCCTCCCTAACATGGGTTAAAAAACACCTTCCATCGGTACCCTGAAACAACCTCTGGGCTGATCTAAGTCAGTGTACGGCTAATTCACAGATTGAACCCTGAAACAACCTTTGGGCTGGTTTTAGACAGGACATAGCTAAAAAAACTTTTCTCACATGTGATGCCAAGTCCTGGATTCAAACCCAAGACCCCAGAGGTGAGAAGGGGGTACAGTACTGCTACACCACCCTTGAAATGCTCATGTGACTTATTAATTCATACCACATGGTTTCCAGGGGCGTAGCGAGGTCTCGATTATTTGGGGAAATGTACCATTTTCCCACCAAATCCTCAGGAATCCCACATGAATTAATTATTATTTGGTGCCAAGAGCAAACTTTTTGGGAGGCACACACTCCCCACCCCTCCCCCTAGGCTAGTGGTGGTTTCTATTTTTTGGGGTGAATACTCACGAGAATTGAAGGGCACGTTATTCAGGATAACCTTTCTGAGTGCCTTGTATTTATCAGTGATGTCGCCTGCTTCTGATACTGGGGCATCATAGTCTGTTGTGAGAAAGAATGCACAGGGAGCCCATTCTCAGTTTTTGTGTCAATGTGTTACTACAGTATGTGGCTACGAACAGTGAGCTTGCAATAATAGAGACATGTGAATAATTATTGTCCAAGGTGTTAAAAAAGGTCTCTATTATTGCATGCTCACCGTTCATCTTGCTTCAATGCAAAGGCACAGCTACTGTACCTTTCAAGATGGTGCAGGGAACTGTGAAGGGGACTATTCCTTTTTTGGAGATTTTGTGGATAATTCGATATTTTTTTTATTGCAAGAAAATGATTTGCCTGCTTTACAGAGTTTGTCATGTTGCGTTAGATTCTCCTGGAGTATTCTTACCATATGAAGTTACTGTTGGCTTGTAACGACCATGCTTGTCAGCATTGGCTCCATTCATAAAACCAAAGTTTGTACCACCTTTAATAAAGCAACCCATAATGAAACCCTTTTTACAAACACGTGCAATTTTTTTCCATTCACAACCATGTGTCGTTTGAGTATTATTTCTTTGTTTAATGGTTGCACATAAGAAGACACATGAATATGGGTATAGTTTAAACAAAGAATCTCAGTCTCAAGAGAATGACACAGTTTACACGCTACATCCAAACAAATATGGTATATTACATTTCATAGTACACTCAACAAAATTACTTGACTCTGATTGGTCGAGAGGAGTACAATTATAGCGTTAATTGCACTCCGTAGGAGTACCGAATTAAGTCGCTATGGCAACACAGCCAAAACAATGTCAAAACAATTATTTTCTATCATTTTGTACTTAAAAAGCATAAATGAAATTTTAAAGCCGTAAGAACTAATCTTTTTTATGCATTTCAGTTGCGCGATGGACTGGAAATCGGCCGCCAAATAGACAAAGATGAACGGCGTCGCTTTGCATTTTTTACTGAAATTTTGTTGAGTGAACTATAAACAAAAAATCGCACGATCTTCTCGTACAATTTGGAATTAATAGACACTTGTAATGTTTTGAAAGTTCTTTAATTGTACTCGCCTAAAGGCTCATGCAATTACAAGAACTTTCAAAAATTACTCGTGTCTATTAATTTCCAAATTGTACTCGCGATTTCCTATACTAACATTGCAACAAGACATACATTATCCCTATTCAAATCTCCACCATCCTTTGGTAGATTATTTCTAATATGCAAGTATTTTGGGATGCATGACTTGCTGTGAAGGTGATGTTTTCTAGAATTTTAATTGGTTGACCTTTTTTTCACTTCATGGTCTGACATTGCCGTGACTTCAGCATGTCCTTGTATTTATCGTATTTATGCCATGTTTCAGGTATTTGATTTGATGGAGAGTAAATTCTCATGCAATTTGATTGGTTCATACATAACATATTAAGTATAAAATAAATCCACCTTACCATGAAACATATAAAAGTTAATAGATGATCCCATAGCAAGAATATTTGTTACTCGCTGGACAGTTTTGTCTAGGGACAAAATATGGTGATCTTCACCCCAGTGGTCAAACCAACCAGACCAAAACTCTGTAACCATTAGAGGCTTGTTGGGCTGAAAGTTAAGGTAACAGCACCATCATCTCATTGTTATCATTATCATCATCATCATCATCATCATCATCATCAACACCATCAAAACATCATCTTCACCATTCACATCACTGTCATAAAATACTTAGAACCATCTTGATTGTCATCATAAACTGCTTCAAGGCTGGATCTAAGTCTTTGAGAGGAGGAGGGAGATTACCTCCAACATTGGAAGAATGCTCTTTCTACATTTTCCACCACAATCATCATCATCATTCTCATCATCATCATCACCACAATCCCTGCCATCTGACACCATCATCCCGAACATTATCACCAACATCATTACTACCATAACATCACCATCATTTTATTATCATCATCGCCATCATCACCATTATCATCATTATTATCATCTTTATTATCGTCATTTTCATCTTTGCTGTTTTTCTCAACTTCATCATATCATCATCATCATCATTATTACCATACATTGGCATCTCACCTACCTGTAACTCTTTCAAGCCTTTGAGAACATGTGTCTCATTCCGTTGGAAATTAGCAGTTCTCAGAACTTACAAAAACAAGAAAAAGAAAGAAAAATGTTAATAAATTACTGGTACATATTTGTAAAAGGAATTCACAAGAAAACGTTAGATAGTAAAGGACAAAATAACCATACCATTGAGTAATATATAGACAGTATGAGTGGCCGAGTTGTATCGGATATACAAGGCGTAGCCAGCGTAGGTGGACACAAATACTATAGATTGCTTATCAAACGTCTAGGTTAGTTCCTTTGTGTTTTACTAAAATTTTCAATATTAAAGTGAATCTGGCCAAGAAAATCCAACTTAAAGATGAACACGATTCTGTATCTGATTTACAACACTCTTCACAGTCGTGATTTCTATTGTGTTTTCCTTATGAATTATTAATGAGTTTGATAAATCCTAGTTATAATTCCGATACTGTTTTTTAAGGTTTTATTTGATGCACTTATTATAATCATGGGGGCCTATACCTGGGAAGAAAAGAATTTTGGATGAAAAGGAAACTTATATTCATTTCTATTGTGATCCAAGTCAATCTCTTATGTTTCATCAACCAACACAAGGTTCCAGAAGTAGGCTTATAATGTGGAGGGATATTTGCTCTAGCAGACTGGTGGGCTTATAATCAGGAGGGATTATGATCTTAGAGGGGAATTATAACTGGGATTTTATGGTATTTTAATTGTACAACAAAACACTGATCTGATTTATCTGTGCATATGTACCTCCAGATAAATGAAACTTTTTCTCTTTTTTCATCTGATATAAGCCATCTGAAGTGATCAATAGCTCAGAAACACCTCTCCTGGTCATTTCCTGTGCAAAACGATTTCATGATTAGAGGCATGAGCTGAAGATACAACTTTCTTTTCATGAGAGCCATCTCTAAAGAAAATAAAAGTGCCATTTGGCCCTTCTGGGGATGGGTGTTTCATGCTCACATTCCTGTCCCCTGGGGTTCCAACCCTTATAAGCATATATTTTGACAAATAGATATAACACAACAGTGATATCTCTGTTTAGCAAACAACGTATTAAGCAGGTGTTATCTTGTACTTTAAGACTATCTGACATGTGTTGGTCAACTGTCTCCCAACTGTTGGCCATGTGGGGGTTTTTCTATGGGTCCTTCGGTTTTCCTCCCTCCTCAAACATCAACTTCTAAATTCCAATTCAATCACAGAACAAGGGCCACAGGTTTGTTAGCCTCTGGCTATTTTAATAGCACTTAAAAGTGCTACCCACATGAAAATAGGATGTGTTTTTTTGTTGACCATGTGTTGACTGAGCACTAGGGTCACTCATTAAACAGATGAATCCCCTTTTCATATCAATAGCATGGCAGCAACAAAATTATTGGGGGGAGGGGGATTCTGATCCCTGGAACCCATATGTGTGGAGCCATCAATGTTAATGCACTATATATATCTTACACGTTTGAGGTGGCGCATGTAAAAAGAATCATTTCCAAAGCTAAGGTATTCATTTTCCACTTGCCATGCTATTATAGGACCACCCTTCGAATACTGAAAGAAAAAATGTAGGAATTTTTTGTTAAAAACCTGAGCACCACAAAACAGTACATAGTATAATTTCCCGGGGAGGGGGGGTGGGGCAGGGTACTCCCCTATATTCACTATATGGGTACATGCCACCAAACAGGGTATGGTTTTCAGCGATTCTACT